CATTGGGTTTATATACTGTATTTTCTGGCATATAAGACAACTGGGCGTATAAGACAACCCCCAAATTTTCCAGTTAAAATATAGAGTTTGGGATATACTTGCCATATAAGACTACCCTTTTTCCAACGCACACCAAATAAAAATTTAAAAAGATCAGATTTGATTTCAATATGATAATTTTCCTATTACTGTACCTCTTTCTTTGCCTCTCAGATCTCGCACATGTGCACTGAAGTCTTCAGGAGGGAGATCTGAGAGCAGAGGAGGAGGTATGGTAATAGGATACAAGGGCGGGCCAGACAGAGCCCAGAGCCACTCTATCTCTTTTTTCTATATCCTGGGCGCCCCGGACACCTGCAGTTTGCTCCACCCTTCACTTACACCTTCCCAGTGAGGTGCCCCTTCACCTCACTATCGGGATCACATTAAGTCCACAAATCCTGATGAATGGATTTTCTTCTACCGTACTTGTACAGCGTCACCCTTAATGCTTTCATAGTCGCTGCATACAGCAGGGACGTGGCCACTGCCATTTTTGAGCTCCCCCCACAATATGCGGCAATCACAGTTTCTCCAATCCGGATTGGAAGTTTCAGCACCCGTTCTATAAGACGATTCCCGGCATATAAGACGACTCCCACGTGTAAGACGACCCCTGACTTATAAGAGTTTTTTTAGTACTGGTAGCCAGATTTTGTTCATTTTCATGGTTTCCTCCTTTCTGTTGAAATTGTCCACATGCTTGTGTATTTCAATGGCTTCTCTGTGTAGTCTGACATGGTGGTTGTGAGAGTGGTCCAGCATTTCTGTGTTCTCAAATAATATGCTGTGTCCAGGCTGGTTCATCAGGTGCTCTGCTATGGCTGACTTCTCTGGTTGAAGTAGTCTGCAGCGCCTTTCATGTTCCTTGATTCGTGTTTGGGCAATGCTGCGTTTGGTGGTCCCTATGTAGACTTGTCCATAGCTGCATGGTATACAGTAGACTCCTGCAGAGGTGAGAGGATCCCTCTTGTCCTCTGCTGAACGTAGCATCAGAAACTTAGTGGATTTTGGTAAATGCCATTAACTGAAAGTTCTGTCTAACATATGTTCCTAAAACACACAACTGGTAGAGAAAATATACATTGGGTCTGAAAGAAATAAAGGCAATTGCACATTTTCGCTGGAATACTTTCTGTCTCAACTTTCAGATGTTACAAACCCAAACTTGTTCTACTACCATTTGATCTTACAATACAAAATATTATTTCATCAGCTGCTTGCTAACTTTGAGCAAACCTGCAAGAAGGAGAAGAGGCTCCAAAATGCTCATTTCCCTTTTGCCCCCAGGACATTTTGAAAGATCTAAAAGTGCTATGCACACATTGAAAAAAACAACAAAACCAAACCTCTAGCTATTGGATCACTATGTGAATGACTCCCAAGGCTTTATAATCTCATGAGTGGAACAGTCCATTTAAATACCACCAAAAGTTTGGATGACCCCACACCTAGTTAGCAATGCTTTCAAGTGACTTCACGCACTGATTAAAAATTATTTTTAGCAGAAGCAGGTTCATTTCTTACAAAGTGATTGATTAGAGTTATATCTGCATGTTCTTCTTTGTACCTTTAATTCTACCAGGAGTTTTTAAAACCTTACGTAAATTCAGAGCCTGGTCTCTTCTCTGGTTTCAGATTGTGTGCAACAGGTTCACATATATTCCCATTACAACTTGCTGATCAGTAAACATTGCTTATATAAATATTGGCATTGTCGTATTATATGATGGCATATGCTGAAAAGAATAGCCCCAGTGGAAAAAGTTGTGTCATATTTCATCTGTTCTTATAGTATGCCTGGATTTTTAATCTATATTACATTGTTAGCTCCACTAGTCACTTCTTTCCAGGATGAAGAGGAACCATTGGGGAGAAACACCCTTTGGGTTCGTTCACTTCACCAATTACCGATCCACTTCTTAGTAGCATTGGCTAGCTCACGTTCGACTAGTTTGCTTCAAGGTCATGGGGGACTCTGTTGAAGGCCTTGTCAAAGGTTGTGTCATATGTGATCTGCTCTTATATAGCATGTTTGAACTTTTTGGGACCCGCCTACCTACGTGACCGCATTTTGGTATATGAACTCACACGATTTCTCCGATCATCTGGAGAGGCCCTGCTCGCGCTCCCACCTGCATTGCAAGCGCGATTGGTGGGGACGAGTGAGAGGGCCTTCTCGATGGTGGCCCCTCGACTCTGGAACTCACTTCCTAATGACATCAGGCAGACCCTGGGGTGGCTCAACCATTACGCAAAGTAAGCACACGCAGTATAGTTGATTTTGCCCAGGGGCGCTCTTGAGGCGCTCTTAGAGGAAAATAGACCATGACATATGCAAGTTGAGGTCTCTTCCAACTCTTTGATTCTATGATTCTATGATTTAGGTCTGCTCATATGTTTCCACTAACGCCCCACCTCCTTATCTCATACATGTCCAGCATCATTTTAATTTTTTAATTACATTTAGCCTAGCCATAGATTTTAAAAGTGTGTTGTACTATTGTCGATGCTCATGTTATTGTCTATGTGGTTTATTTTAATTGCATGTATTGTTGTTGTTATTGCTTGTATTGTTGTGTTGTGGGCTCGGACAATTTCAACAGAAAG